AGGAGAGAGGAGGAGATGAGGAAGGCGGCATCGGCCATTTTGGATATTTTTTTGGGGGTTTGATGGTTCTCAACCGTTGAGTGGTGGGGTTGTGGATTTAAAGGAGGGAAAGGGGAGGGGATTTTTCTGGGGGGTGGCATCAGGGCACATCTCCAATCACACACCCCTTCTCTCTCTCTACAGTACACCAACTCTCACATCAGATTTTAAAATTTAAAATCTCATTTGAGACCTGATGTACTGTAACAAAAGAGAAAGGATATGGTTGAAGTTATGGTTGGGGATGTGTCCCTATCATTTTTTTTTTCTGGTGCGGATGGACGCGTGAAGCTTTTGTATAAGGGGGCTTGGGTTCACGCGTGCGCGCGGTGTGCGATTGTGGAGGAGGGCATTGCGTGCTTGCTTGCACACGTGCTTGTGCTCGTGCTCTTCCGTGCATGTGTCGGTGCTCTTAGGCGAGTTATTCTAGGTAGGCCCTGTTAGGATATGTGAAGCCTAACTATCAAGCATGCCCTATACTTCAGAAGAGAAGAGGAACAAAGTTGGAACAGGATGAACAGGATCGACGATGGCGAAGTTCAAGCAAAACGACGAAGGAGGCATTTTTCTGCATCGCGGTCGACCGAGCAGGGCGCGGCGGTCGACCGCCTATGTGCACAGCTGGGTGCACAGGCCAGAAACTCGTCGCGGTCGACCGAAGGTGGCGCTGCGGTCGACCGCTCAAAGTCCAGAGAGCAACCCAGCTTTCTGTCTTCGTCGCGGTCGAGACCGCCCAAAGTCCAGAGAGCTCGATCAGGAATAGGATTCGTCGCGGTCGACCGCACGTGGTGCGGCGGTCGACCGGAGTCGGGTTTTGGCCCAGTTTCGAATTTTAACCTGTTTTGTTCTGTTTCCTTCTTTACTTGTTAAACCCTTAAGTCTATAAAAGGGTTGATTAGGGCATGATGTATTGAGACGAAAAATAGTGAATTTTTCTCCTGCGGCGTCCGTGGACGTAGTTTCTCACATTGAGAAGCGAACCACGTAAATCTTGTGTGTTTGAGATTGTTTGATTTTCTCTCTTCTCTCCTAAATCTCTATTTCCAAATCGCATCAGGGGGGTTGTGTATCCCCAACAAGTGGTATCAGAGCGACCAGGTTCGGCGCGAGCGATTTGAGGTCAGAGACAATGGGATCTGAGAAGGAAACATCCAAGATTGAGAAGTTTGATGGAACAAACTTCGGGTTCTGGAAGATGCAGATGGAGGACTACCTCTATCAGAAGGATTTATACCTACCATTGGGAGAGAAGCCGACGGATATGAAAGATGCGGATTGGAAGCTATTGGATCGAAAGGCCCTTGGAGCGATCAGGTTGACCTTGTCTAAATCAGTAGCGTTCAACATCAAGAATCAGAATACGACGGCGGATCTCATGGCGGCGTTGTCCAGTATGTATGAGCAGCCCTCTGCGGCGAATAAGGTACATCTCATTAAAAAGTTGTTTAATTTGAGGATGTCCGAGAGCCAGAAATTCAAGGAACACATGAACGAGTTTAACGAGATCACTGATCAATTAAACTCGGTCAATATTCAGTTTGACGATGAAATCCAAGCCCTCTTGATACTTGGTCAATTGCCCGACAGTTGGAAGGGTACCGTTATCTCGATCAGCGGATCATGTGGCAAATCAAAGCTGAAGTTTTCAGAGGTGGTGGACATGATTATGACTGAGGAAATAAGAAGACAAGAGGAAGGGATTTCTAATTCAGGGTCGGCGTTGAATCTTGAGAGCAGAGGAAGAAACAGAAACAGAAACAGAGGAAATAGCTGTGGAAGACCTAACTCGAGGAACGGAAGGTCAAAGTCCAGGAACCGCAAGGGTAAGAAGGAGATCGATTGCTGGAATTGTGGCAAGTTTGGCCACTATGAAAATCAGTGCCGAGAACCCAAGAAGGACAAGGAGAACAAGACTGAAGCGAACGTGGCCTCAGGAGAATCAGATGATGCCCTGATCTGTTTGTTGAAAAGCAAGACTGAATCGTGGGTGCTGGATTCAGGAGCTTCGTTTCATGCTACCTCAAATAGAGATTTATTTGAGAACTACGTTTCAGGAAACCTAGGAAAAGTCTATCTTGGTGATGATCAGCCTTGTGATATTGTTGGCAAAGGAGTCGTGCAAATCAAGCTCAATGGGTCTACATGGAAGCTGAGCGATGTGAGACATGTTCCTAGCTTGAGGAAAAATCTGATTTCCATAGGACAATTGGCAAAAGAGGGATACGTTTCAACCTTCGCATGTGATACATGGAAGGTTACAAAGGGATCCATGGTTGTTGCCCGTGGTACGAAGACTGGATCTCTCTACATGACGATAGATGCACGAGGTTCCATTGCAGTGGCTGAAAGTAATGAAGACCCAAATTTGTGGCACTAGAGGCTAGGTCACATGAGTAGCAAAGGCCTAAAGGTTATGCAATCGAATGGGAAGTTACCAGGTTTGAGATCGGCTGATATTGATTTATGTGAAAGCTGCATTCTTGGGAAACAAAAGAGAATAAGCTTCAAAAGGGTTGGTAGAACTCCTAAAGAAGAGAAGCTTGAGTTAGTTCACACAGATGTGTGGGCTCCAGCATCAGTTACATCCACCGGCGGAAGGTTATATTTTGTGACCTTCATAGATGATCACTTGAGGAAGACTTGGGTCTATTTCATGAAACACAAATCAGAAGTGTTTGAAGTCTTCAAAAGATGGAAGGCTATGGTAGAGAACGAGACCGGTTTGAAGATCAAGAAGCTTCGTTCTGACAACGGCGGCGAGTATGAAGACTCAGAGTTCAAGAAGTTCTGTTATGACAGCGACATTAGATTAGAGAGGACAGTGCCAGGTACACCCCAGCAGAATGGCGTAGCAGAACGCATGAACAGAACATTGACTGAGAGAGCCAGAAGTATGCGGTTACAAGCAGGTTTTCCAAAGCAATTCTGGGCAGAAGCAGTCAACACAGCTGCCTACTTGATCAACCGGGGACCATCAGTGCCTTTGGAGCACAAAATACCTGAAGAAGTATGGAGTGGAAAGCAGGTAAACATTTCTCACCTGAGAGTATTTGGATGTGTTTCATATGTACATCTGAGTGATCACGCTAGAAGCAAACTCGATCCTAAGTCCTTAAAATGTTTCTTTGTTGGCTATGACGGCGATGAGTTTGGCTACAAGTTCTGGGATGAGCAAAACAAGAAAATCATCAGAAGCAGGGATGTGGTCTTTAACGAATCAGTCATCTACAAAGACCGTGATGCAGTTCAGCCCACTAGCTCGATGCAGAGTGATCCTACGTATTTTGAGAGCAGCTAGATGTAAAGACAGCTTTCCTCCACGGTGATCTAGAGGAAGAGATATATATGCAGCAGCCAGAGGGGTTTACTCAGAAGGGAAAAGAGAAGATGGTATGCAGATTGAAGAAGAGCTTGTACGGCCTGAAACAAGCTCCAAGGCAATGGTACAAAAAGTTTGATGGATTCATGCACAGGAACGGTTATTCCAGGTGCAATGCTGATCATTGCTGTTTTGTCAAAGAGTTTGACAAGAGTTACATCATCCTACTCCTATATGTCGACGACATGCTAGTAGCCGGTTCAGATATGACAGAGATCAAGAAACTGAAGGAGCAGCTGTCGAGTGAGTTCGACATGAAGGATCTAGGCGCAGCGAAGCAGATATTGGGAATGAAGATCAGCAGAGACAAACTCTT